GTTTTTTGTGTGTGTTGTATTCCTCTTACACACACTTTATGGGAGCAGTTTGATGCTCAGATAAGACTGTACAAAATTTTGAAAACTAGAAGCCAAAAAGACTAGAAAATGAAATAATAGAAGAATAGTAAATCCCTTATTTGATGGTTTAACATATGATATAAGAGGACATTTGGCAAGTTGGGTTGTATTTTTCCCAAGTCCAGAGGGGCAATGAAAATACGAACAACTTGCAAAATTTCTTGGCATGTGATAAATTGAGCCATTAAATAAGGTGTATAGATTACACAGAACATGAATTATGTAAATGTTGTTGTGTAAGTTGAATTTCAGACCAAAATGATTCCAAACTAGTTTGAGAAATTTTTTTACTTCAAAAGTCCTTTGAAACTAGTTTGAACTCATTTTAGCCTGGAGACATTTTAATCTGTGACTCAAATACTTGTAAATGTTGTTTGGCTATATAAGAGTACTGATCTGCTAATTTTTGTTAAAAGCCAGGTTAACTGCGTCTCTAAGGAAACTTGTCTCCCTTTTAAAAAATGTACCTGCAGCATGTTCTCTCTTCAGAGTTACTGGAAGATGTAATATTAAACCTCAAGTTCTCATGAAATATATTTTGAAATCAAAATGCATTTTTTTTTAATCTAGCATGCATAAATCTTAAAGTGATTCTAAGTTTATATTTATAGAATTTTTAAACATACTTTTGGAATGAAAAGCTCATAAATACACATCTGCCATTATCTTCATTGCAGAGAATTCTACCACTCTCATGCATTCTTCTGCGATCAAGAGAAGGCAGAAAAAGTCAGGGACCTGATCATGTATGGTATATCACACCTGGATTTTGACATGTAAGTCCCTTGACTGCACTATCGGTCTTGATTGATGATTAGTCTTTGGAGGCATGCCAACGGCAAGCTCTTTTCATGTGAATAATTTATACTGTAAATGTCAAGTCAAATAGTTTTTTTTTTAATGAAATACACAGTTACCCTTGCTAGACTTGTCTCATCACTAGTCTTTCAAGGTGTCAAGAAGATTCTGAGTTTGTTCATATGCTAATCGACTTTGAATTTATTAATCTCTTCTGAGTAAAAAATCAACACAATGCTAGACTTGTTTTTGTTGAGTTATGTGTAAATGTTCATCTAGCTCTTTGTCAAGCAGTTCCAAAAGGCTTGTGGCAAGGAAGGACAACCCAGCCATGATTGCTGCAGGTATGTTTAGTACTCTCTCTGATAATAATAATAATAATAATAATAATAACAATAATAATAATAATAATAATAATAATAATAATAATAATAATAATAATAATAATAATAATAAAAAAAATCAAGGGTGCAGTCAGACTCCATGGTAATGAAGACTGTGCATGGGGAATGGTAAGGGAGTTTGAAGAGCAAGCGGCAAGGATGGGGCGTAGGTCAATTTTTAAAGAAGCAGCTAAGTGCGCGGAGGAGTTGGGGCTGGAGTTGGATTTGGAACACGCACAAGGGATCAAGAAAGAGGTGCCGAGGTGCCAAATTGAGAAGTTAGAGGATGAGATCAGAAACCAACGATGGCAAGGGCGTCTAGTGACTACTAGGCTGGAGGATGAGAGTTTGAGTGCAGATGGGTGTTTCTGGTGGCTCACAGAGTGGAAGAACTGCCCATCACACACAATTGCTGGACTCGTTGAGCTATATGAGCAGCTATTACCAACGCGAGTATACACAAGTCAGAAGACCCACACAAGCGGGGAAGGCAAGGTGAGGTGCAGATTATGCGGCAAGGCTCCAGAGAGTGGCACATATCTTGTCAGGATGCATTGCACTGGCCCAGAGCAAGTATCTCTCTAGACACAACGCAGCACTGAAGGTACTGTTTTACGAACTGTTGTATGATGAGGGATTTATAGACGAGATACTACCCTGGTACTCACCCGACAAGCCGAAGCCCGTGTATGAGTCAGAGAATGTTAAAGCTTATTGGAATGTCCCTATATATGCTGATCAACAAGAGGTCAGATGCAATAGGGTGGATGCATGCATTTTAAATCATATGTGCAAGAGAGTTGTGACGCTGGAAATGAGCTGCCCGTGGGTTAACAATCGGACAAGAAAGGATGAAGAGAAGACACTGAAGTACGGCCCCCTTCGCTGGGAACTAAGGCAGCAGTTCCCAGGCTACGAGGTGAAGCAATATAACATCATTGTGGATGCCCTCGGGGGGATGGTCACGGAAGCTGGATGTCATGATGCGCAAGCTGGTGGGAGGCAGAAGCACAGACGTACTGCGAAAGATGCAGAGGGCAGTGCTCTCGGGCACGCTGAATATTGCCCAGACTTTCAAGGTGGCAGTTTGAGTTCCTGTTAGAAGGAGGACCGTAGACACAACGGAAAAGCATTTTTGGATTAGTTAATGTACATTTATTTTTTACTCCATGGGTCACAGGTTATGGTTTTTGCCCTGTGCTGCCTGATGAGAATGTAGCATTCAATTGATTTCTCTGCGATAATAATAGTAATAGTAATAATAATAATAATAATAATAATAATAATAATAATGACCTTTATTAGCTTACTTCCACATAGTGGCTCTTTGCTACTAGTATAAAACTAACTAATTTATATACATAATACTTACAATAAATCAAAATTGGTAAAATAGTGAATAATAAAAACTACACTAGATTATCCATTGCATGTCAGTATGTGTCTCTTAAGATTTATACAAAAAAGTGCATGGTCACTGCAATTCCTTAGCTCCACAGGAAGCTTATTAAAAGCTTTTGCAGCTTGATCTTCTAGAGTGTTCTTCTCAATTATGTTGGCAAGTTCTAATTTTGGTGCAGCTAATGACCAAAGACTATATCTATTTACAACATGTTGCTTGAGTTTTTAGTGGAAAGTCCTCATTGTATAATAACTTGTGCGCTAGCTTAGCTATATTGAATTCTAAACGCTCTTTGATTGTGAGCCAACCTAGCTTTCTAACATCCTGGAGTCCAGCAAATTTAGTTTACACAAAACCTGCTCACGTGTTCTGTACTCTTTGAAGGCATTTGGTCTGGTACTCTGGGAGAGGACTAAACACAACGTTACAATAATCCAGTTTAGAGAGTATAAGACTTTCCACTAGTCATTTTCGTATGTGGTATGGTGTGAAGTTTTTTAGTTTCCGTAGTACTGCTAAAACACCGTAACACGATGACAACAGATTCGTTATGTGTTCTTGCCATGTTAGTTCCTGATCCAGATAGACTCCCAAAAGCTTGGTGCTTGAGACTTTCTCAAGTTTAGTGTCACGGCAGTATACATCTGCAGAAAAATCATTTAAAGAGTGTGTGCGTGCCAATTGTCTTGTAGAGAGAAGCATCCATTTTGTTTTTTCTGAATTCAACGCCAAATTGGACGATTCAGAGTAACTTCTCAGGCTTCTTACTGTCTGATTAGCATCTTTTATGCAAGCCTCTATTTTGTGCGGCTTCGAGTGGTGAAGCAACGTGGTATCATCCGCATATTGAAAGCATTTGTAACTCAACTTTTTCTGGAGGTCTGCTACATAGATATTGAAAATTAACGGTCCTAAGATTGATCCTTGAGGGACACCAAAGCACATTTCCAACCGCTGAGAACACTTGTCATCTATCATTACATATCCACCGCTTTAGGATACTGTTAGATTTTCTACACTTTTTGAAGAGAATTCTAATTCTTTTCATGCATGCATCTTCTTACAAGTCCATAAAGCAAATTATTGCTTTTGAAAATGATGATGGAAAAATAAAGAGCTTTCTCACAAAACTGTGAGAAATGGGATGTTTTTTAAGAGAATAATAATTTAAATTCTATCCATACATGCATCCTTGTTTCAGTATGTAAAGCAAATTTTTTGCCTTTGAAACAGATAATGAAAAATATAGGGCATTCTCACTTGCTTGGCTAGCATTTGTGTGGTGACAGGTTGGCTTTTTTGATTACCTCATTTGTTAACTGACCACACATGGAACTCAAATCTGTTTTATCGGGGCAGTATACTCCAGATATCTTGGTTAGCAGATATGCACTGGGTTTTTTGCTTGTGGATGTGACTCTCACATTTCCTTTCTGTGCCCCAGAGTATATGTGGTACCATCAAACTGACCAGGAAGTGTGATTAATTACAGAGGTGTTACATTTGATGGACGAATATCACAGGCTGACATGACCTAAATAAATCCTTTAACTCCCAAAATCTGATTGATAATTCTCCCCTTTTTCTTCTCCACATTTCCTTGTAAATTAGTTATGAGAATTTGGTTTTAGATCAAGATAAGTTCTGCTGGATAAATTTGAACATTCTCATAACCTGTATGCTAGATAACGTCTGGATATTGTCGGGAGAACTTACTGTACTTGTTAATCACTTCTGGGAGTTTAAGGGTAACCATAATTGTCTTGTAAATGAAAACTATGGGGGTCTGAGTGAAGGAGAACTTTATGAATGATTTTGTGAATGATAAATATTTCCAGATGCAATGATAACTCGTCTTCCTGAAAGATCAAGTACTGTGAATGGCAGTGCATCTCCTTCAAGCAGTTGGAATGGCCATGAACATGATACTAACTGGCAGGACCAAGAAAGTAGTACTTTGAAATCTGAGCAAACTGGAAAGAAGAGAAAGAAAAAGAAAAAGGCTGGAGTAGCAATGATTGCTGATACAGAGGAAGCACACTGTACAGATAAAGTGATTCAAATGCACAGGGAGTTAGATTTACATGATTTTAACCAAAAGTTTAAAACATGTGAGAATGAAAATGGGACTGAAGGAACTTCTGAAAATAGTAAACTTGTTAACAACATTCTAAACAGTGCTTTGGATGCAGAAGACACTAGTTCTGAAATTTCTTTAACTATGGAGTTACCAGTGTCTGAAATTGTTTCTGAAAAATTTGAAGAGCCTTCAAGAACTATTAATCAGACAGAAGATGCCTTAGCAAATGCTCTTACAACTGAAGAAATAACTACCAATGACTACCTACTTGAAGAGAAAGTTTGTTTAGATGAAGATGTTGTCAACACTACTGTAGAAAGAAGTGAAGAAAAGGAATGCATGGGAATGAATACAGAAGAGAATAAAGAACTCGATGCAAATTGTATTTCTGATCATAATACATCATATGAGGCATCATGTTTCGCAGAAAGAAGCTGTGAGGCAGATACACATGTTGTCAACATACCAGTGGTGGAAAACAGATCATCATCTCTGAATCCTTTTGAGGATTCAGGTGATGACGAAAGTGATGCTGTTGATGGAGTGACTGAGAAAGATGATAATACTTCTGAGAGTGAGACTCCAGAACATTTTGCTTCCTTGGCAACTTTTGAGTGTGGTACTCCAAAGCAGGTGGACAGCATTCGGGAAATTGAAAAAGAAAGAACATTATCCAATGTGAGTTATGAAGGAGAAGACTTTAACATTATACCAGGAATCCACAAAGATTCAGTAAGTGGAAGTTCAGGGAGCTTCAATGGATCAGGTTCATTTTCACAAAGAAGCAGCAGAAATAACACCTTGGATTCAATTCCTAGGAGCTCAACATTTGGAAGCTCAGTGGCCTCAGGTTCATGGCCAAACAGAAGTGGCTCTTTCAACCACAATTACTCTAAAGTTGAAGCAGGGTTTAGTGTTGGATCTTCTGGCAGTGAGTTGAGTGAGTATGAAATGTTTGATGAGTTACTTGGACTGGAAGAAGACCACTTCTCTCCCCCAGAGGTGAGATTGCAGAATATTTTACTTTGACTGTTGGTTAAATTTTAGAACAATGATGGTAATCAGGGATTTCAAACACTCCTTTCATAAGTGGCTATTAATTGTGGATTTAACCCATTACACTCTAACATCAGTATTCTCTATACTGACAAGGAGAATTTGTTTAACAATCAAGAACTTCTCCAATTGGTGATCATTTCCTTTATTCTTATTACCTTGATGCACAATTCAGGTCGCTGGATTAATTTTAGGAAGCAGCTGTGAAAGGAAAAGAGGCCTCACCTCGCAAGGCTTGAAAATTGAAATCTCAACAGACAGCAATAAGAGACTGTAGAAACAAGGGCAGTGGATTGTTGCTAATCAGCTAGTATCAACACTCCTGACAATGTTGTTTATTAAAAAGCTGCAATTCTTAAACATCATTATTATTGGGACTCAGAGCTTTCATTGGGGTTAAGAAAATTTTAATAACTATCAGTATGTGCGCTAATTCTTGCTACGTTTTCGTCAATAACCATGCGTTTAAATTGTACCTTGAGTGATTTTACAAACTGGTACACTTTTGTATTTGTGAATCTAAGTAGTACTGCCAGTCAAAACAGTATGCATTATTTTGTGCCAATCGTTTTATTCAGTTTCCCACATTCCTTTTAATCTCATTTATCCTTAGTCCTTCATGGGCTTTTCCACCTCAGAAGAACTTAAACATGCAATAACTGCCTGCAAAGACATGATAAATGCAGCATCTGAAGATACAGAGGAAAAGAACAAGCTTATCAACAAACTTGTCCAGCTGAGGCTCAAACTGCAGGATACACAGGTATTTTACTGTTTTATTTTCCATCATTTTACCTTTCACCTGAACATTGAAGTGGTCACACAACTAATAATGAGGATGATAATGATGCTGATGCTGCTGACTTTGTTTCTGATGGGGAGAATGATAAGGGTGGGGATGGTAGAGCACCCGATTTCTGCTGCTGTGGCCCAGGTTCAATGCCGGGACTTGGTGTCACATCTGGAGTGAGTTTTCTTCCCTTTCACAAACACTAACACTCCAAATTCCAATTCAACCTGGAAACTGCCGATGGGAAGAGCTACCTCTGGAATGTCAACTGCTTAATCCCCACTTCCCATTATGTCGACAATGAAGGTTATGTATATGTGCACGATCCTTCGCAGTAAAGCACTATTTGAGCAATAGTGAAAATCAGACCTGAAAAAAATTTCAGGCCTGTACGGGATTCGAACCACTGACCTCTGCGATACTAGTGCAGCACTCTACCAATTGAGCTAACAAGGCAACTGGGAGCAGGCTGCTGCTGACATTGTTTCTGAAGGTTATGGTGACAGTGATGATGATGACAGTGATGGTACAGTGGTGGTACAGTGGTGGTACAGTGATGGTACAATGGTGGTACAGTGATGGTATACATGTGCCTACCACCCTAAAGCTCCTTTTCCTCTCATTTTGCAGGATTCAAAAACAGAGAATGAAACCAACGCTAAGAAAATCCTGAGTCATCTTTTCGTGAAGGAAGATGACCCAGGAAAAAAGAGTCATTGTGATAAATGTGGTAAAACAATCTGGATGTGGCAGTCATTATACACCTGTAACGGTATTTAGTTTTATTTTTGCTTCATTGTATATTGGGCATTTTCAGCATTTCCAGATCATAATAATGACTTTTATCGCCGTTGAAGGGGCAAACTTTACCAACAATGATCTACTTTATAATGGTCCTTTATTCTAAATAACTTCCGCTCGTTTCTTGTTAAAATATTAGTCACTCTTACCGAAAGCAGTCGATCGTATTAGTAATATATAAATTCAGCCTTGGTTAACGGCATAAAATAGTTGTTAATCGTGCTTCAAAAAACTCAGTCAAGAAGAGAAGTGATCATGTATGGGAATCTTTCTTGACTGGTAACCTTAGATATTTACGACCACGTACTAAGCAGTTTTCCTCCGTTTTTAGCTTGCAATTATCACTCTCACAGACGCTGCTTGGAGCTCATTCGTCGACCATGTGCCAGTCGTAAGGTACGAACTGAGTTGTACTGTCGGGGAACTGGTGCCTGTTGTTCGGTCAAAACTACCATGAGCCTGCGGTTTTTTTTTCGGTCATGATAGCAAGCAACTTCGTGAGTTAGGTCGGCTACATTATCTTCTACAACAGTGGTACACATTTGCGAGATTTGGGTGAAACTGTTTTATTTGCTCCCTGACAAAAATAGTGTTTCCATCCCTGTCGTTGAGTGCAAAATTGTACTTCCATACAAGCCACTGATCTCACTGAAGTTTTAATTTGAATACTCGCTTGCAAGCTCAGTGACCCAGATTCGCGAACTTGGCGTTGCTTGTGGTGTGTTGTAAGTTCTCGTCTTTGCCTTCTGTTTCTTCGTTTTTCCTCACGCCGTTCCAAATACTACCTTGACCGTTTTATTATCTAAATGAGTAAAAGTCCTTATTATCAGCTCAGTATCCTTATCTATTTATTGACAGGTGTCGGTCAGCAAGTATAACTTGAGAATTTGTCCAGAAACAGGGATGTCATCACAACAGTATAAGTGTGCAGAGTGTAGGAAACAGATTGGACTAACAAGTGAGTCGTAAAACATGTAAATACTGAGGAATTGGGATTTCGTCTTAAATTTTTTTCTCTCTTATAACGTAAGTAGTCTCCCTCGCAGCCGTTTTTAGTCTCGTCACGCAACGCTCCTCCCCACAACGTTGCGTGACGAGACTAAAAACGGCTGCGAGGGAGACTATAACGTAAGGGGCTTTCAGTTTAAAAACCATTCTGTTAGAGAAACACGAGGAAGGACTGAGAAGAGAGATGAAAAGCCTCGTAACCCCCTCTCTCCCTCCCCTCCCCCTTTTAAAAAAAGTCCTTGTTGATTTGCTCTCGCCCTTTTAATCGTTCGCGTTCTTTGACCGCCTCTCACCAAGAGTCTGGCCTAGGCTGATCAGGAATCTGATAAGGTTCATAAGAGAAAGTGTATTTTTTTTTATCAAGCTGGAATAATTGTCGTGTTTTAATTGTAGGAGGTGAACGATCTGAAGCGCGCCTTTGTGATTATTCTGGTCAGTATTTTTGTGAAGAGTGTCACTGGAATGATATGGTGGTAATACCCGCCCGAGTGGTTCATAACTGGGACTTCTCTACCTACAAGGTATTAGTGACACCACTTACGCCGTCATTGGGCCGAAGCTACAATCAACCGATCGGAGAGCCAATATTTCTCTAGTAACGGACCGTACATTGACCTCAATGCTCCTGCACTGACCTATATTCTTGCTATACGGCCCTCGTGCTTGGTTTATGAATAAGATTGAATAATTAATGAGATATCTCTCAGTTGCTGCGTGTGCTGTGATTGGTCAGTTTAGCGGGCCTTATTTCATCGTACGGGCCGCTTGATTTAAAAGTTCGTTTGAATTTAAATCTTCCTCCTTCATTTGAACCCAGAGATATAATAAATATCATATTAACCTCGTTTCTCGGTCTGTAGTGTAAGTTACCGAACTGGTATTTTCTGCTTGGTCCGTAACTTACAGTACGGACCTCGAACTCGGTTAGTAGGAGTTATGTATACAGTTGCTTCGTGAAAGGTTGTCAGGGAAAGCGTGAAAAGGGCGAGCGATAACCCCGAAAAGCATGTTGGTTGTTTTCGGGTCATGGTTCCTGAACCTCAAGATTTCAGAGAAAGGACCAGGTACAGCGAGGCACAGCGAGAAACAGCGATGCACAGCGGCTTCAATGAATCTATTTTGTTCACAAGACCGACGTTTTACTCTAAACTTGATGAAAAATGAAAAAAAAAAAAAAAAAAACCAACTGGCCCTAATGAAAGACGATAACGATGTAAACTAACTAACGAGAGCGAATTTGGAGCGACCTGAAGAAAAATGTGTACAACGTAATGTTCTATTGTTTTGTTGCTCTCGTATTCATGTGCGTGTCGGTCATCATTAGGCCTTTTTTCCATATTTCTTTCAGTTATTTAAATTCGTTGTTTACTGGATACCCAGATTACCCTTCGAGGTTTGTCATTTTCGCCCGACAACCTTTCTCGAAACAGCTGTATATTGATCAGCAAAACGTCTCCTTCACGTCCCAGCGGAATCAACCGTGTTATGGTCAGCCACTATGATGTGAAGTTATTTTGCCAGAAAGTTTATCTATTCACTTGATTCTAAAAAGGTTTCTGCCTGTTTTTCGTAGGTTTCAAGACAGTGGAAACAGTTCTTGGACCTCATGCTGACAAGACCTTTGTTAAAGATTGAAAAACTAAACCCGGAGCTGTTTAAATTTGTCGTGGAATTGAGGGAAATTAAGGTAAGAAGAAACGAAACAAATGCAGGCAATTGTTTCTGGATTTTTTTTTCCTGTTTTGTTGTTTGCGTTGTTGTTGTTGTTGTCGTCGTTGTTTTGAGTGTGAGAGCGGAAATTGAGATGCTAGCCCTACATTTAGTGTAAATACGCACTCAAGATTGAATGAAGTAAAATTTAGTGGGCATATTTTTATTCCTCAAATCATTGCGATCAGAGAAGCTGATAGTATCTTGCAGTAATTTTTTGAGAGGTTTGTTAGCAGTTTTAATTTTTTTTGTTTCTTTTCTTGTTGTTGTTGTTGTTGTTTTTTTTGTAATAAACAACAAAAAGGAGGTTATTGAAAACGATCGATACTACAGGCTTGTTTCTACTTGTCCACAGCGTTTGAGAGAAGAGATTCTTATCATGAAGAAGTACTTTGTAACGTGTCGTGAGGCGCTGGAGAGAAAGTTATTGTTACAGGTACAGTGGATATGTTTACACCAAATTGTAGTACTTAAAAAAAAAAGCTTCATTTATAAAATGATAATTCACTGTAGTAGGCACAGAGTTAAAAAAAAAAAGTCATTCTTGAAAGCTGTGTTTTCTTTCCTTCTAATTTTTTAAAATCATTTGACCCATTTGCAGCTGAAGGAGAAACAGCACTTTGTGGACAGTGACAACATTTACTCTCTCCAAGATCTCATTGATATAAACAGTGGTTCTCTTTCGGCTTTCCTCACAAAAACTCACTCTGTCTTCTTCACACACATCAAGAAGGAATGTCAGGTTTGAAACCGTATCCTTGTTTATTCTTACAGTTATGTGATTAATCAAAAATTAAATGTGTCATGGTAAAAATAGTAGCGACGGTATTTTAAGCTGGGGCCAGGTGAAGTTAAGAACGAGATTGCACCCGCGAAAAAATCGCCTGAAAATTGATTTCGTTACTCTGACATATAGAGAAATGGCCAGTTGAATATGTATGTGTAGTCATTTGACAACGGTAACGTCAGCTGGGAAAGAAAGCTGTTTTTGTCGCGCAATAAACACAATAGGTTCGCATGATTTTTTCTTTGTTTTGCCCGTCTTCTCCCGCCTTTTGCGACTTCGTCGCCCACTTTGTCCAAAAGTTACGAACTTTGTTAGTCCGCTCCACGCACTTTTTTTCCTTGCGTGGGATCAATATGGGAAATCCCAAGCGGGCAAAATGGGTAGCCAATCAGAACACGAGATTCGCTTCATTCTGCCTGCTGGTGCTGCCAGCAGTACTCTAATAAAGGTTAATATTGAAACGAATGTCACGGTCATTCCTCTTTGGTAAGTTAAGTTGATGGTAAGTTTAATTTACTTCACATTGCTAAATTTCTACCTGGAAGAGGATAACTAATCATCTACATACATTCTTGTCAGGTTGGGTAGACAGTTTAACAAGACTGCATTTTCCAACTCTGTCCTGAATGTATCTACATGTACGCTGACTTTTTTTTCGTTTTATTTCAGCTCTGTAAAGCGAAAGGTTTTGTGTGTGAGATTTGTGGAAAAGATGAAGTCATTTTTGCTTTCGACCCACATGCTGCACAATGCAACGAGTGCAGAGCTGTATATCACAAGTAAGAATCACTGGCGCTCATCTCTTATGTTTTCTTGTGTACTCTGATGACCTATTGTGGTACATTTATTTGTAAAGGGGTTCGTTGACCTCCCAAGTTAAAATCTGCGATTCTTAAACTTTTCTTCATTTTGGCAGGAACTGTTTCAAAGTCGGTGTGTGTCCCAAATGCGAACGGAGACAGAAAAAATCTTTTAAAAGCTAACTACAAAAGGACGCCATACATGATTCAAATTCCTAAACCTGGAGAGAGTAGAGAGGGCTACTGTCGCTTCGGAAAAGAAGTGAAGACTGAAATAGCTCCTATATGTGAACAATAAATTAAGTGATGGCGCTAATCGTGGACATCGCAAGCCGCAAGGATGCCGGTCTGCAATTGGAGCATATGCAAAAAGACTGGTAACCTTAGAAAGAAGAATGTAAATTTTCCAGGTTACTGTCCAAGTGTGCTCTGGCGTGGAATACTTCAAGTACATGATTCAACCAAACGAAAAAATTCTTCTGCTGTGATATTTGAAGCCACAACTACGCTCTCTTTTTCGTTCTTGAATGAAACATTTACCCTCTTTCTACAAATAAAAATCGAAAATGTTTTTCCCTGAAGGTAACCGGTGACCGTACTATTCTAATTCGCTAGAAGGTAGCTTCTCACTACATAAGGGAATGGAAAGCGCTTGAGATCAACACTTGTGTATTGCGCTGTAAAAGTGAAACGTTATTGGTTTGTTTTGTTTTATTTATTGGCGCGTTTAATCGTTGAAGAGAAGACACCGCAGAAGTTTTCTTTCTTTTTTTTTTCTCCTTTTATAGCTGTTGTTAAAAAAAAAAAAAAAAAAAAGAGGAAAACCCAAAAATATTGTAATTCTCAAAAATTAACTTGTAGGCGTTTTTTTGACATTGTCTACTCAAAAACAGATTGCTTTTTATGATCTATGACGCGTGTGTAAACACTGTTTCTCAAACCTTAACTGCCTCAGTACCGATCAAATTGTTTAAGTCTATATTATTTATATAGGTATATACGGGTATATACAGAGTTATGCCGGTATATATATGTAGCTTAGTGAACCGTCTTCAATTCGTCCCAAGTCTACGGAAGCCAACGCGGTTGGGTGGTTTCTCTGATTGGTTAATGAGCATTTTGTTTACTGAAGAGCGTTGCTCTTTAGCAATAGTGACCTCTTTGTAAAAGTAAAGGAAACTACGTAATTTATTAAGAAGCAGAGAAGTTTTTTGGGTTCGAAGGTTTCAAAATCCTTCGATGTTGTAGTTAATTAAAATTAAACTTTCATTAAATTATGATTCAATTACTACGATATCCAGATTAATCCGAAAAACCCCTTTCCGCTTTGCTTAATTCACTACTGCTGAACTTTAATTGGTATTGAACATCTTAAATTATTTTAACTCTTGCCAATCCATTCGTTTATGCTCTTAGAACATTGAGAAAATATCTCCGGTAGTGACATCGTCTAAAGTAAGAAATTCCTTCATTTTGGATATTTTCCTCGATTTTTTTGGGTAAGTGTCGTTGCAATGGTTATTTTAATCAACTCTGCGATTGGTGAATTAAGTCATTACCTGCTTAAACTGTCTGATTACAGCCAACTGTCTGATTATACTGTCCCGTCACAACTCTGGTGAATAACTAGAGAAAAATAAAGCAGCTAATGCACCAATCGTTTTTGAAGAAATTGTCATAGTTGTTATCAATTACGAAATTGATACGTAACGTTTGAAACTTACAGAAAGGCGCTTTTATGAAACAATGTGATTCACGATTGGGTCTTCAAATATACGTGACCCGTAATAATTATGATATGACGTTTTTCCTTTTAAATTCGTGACGCGTGAAATACGATTTACAATATACATGATCTCAAACGACCAGTTCAAAGCTGAGGTGAATAGACCGAAGAACAAATAGTGTGGCTCATGGGGTCATTTAAAATACATTTCGACAGTGTCATAGAACCAAAACAAATTTATAGTCACAATGGCCAATCAGAACAAAAGGGAAAGTGCTTTTTAGAGGTGATGATAAGAGGTTAAAGTGAAACCAAGCAAACTTACAGGAAAGCGGGAAACCTCGCTCTTCCTTTTTCACGCAGCGCTATTCAGGTTAGTCAAGGTCGGATTTCCGGTCACGTGGACAAATGAACTCTGAGCAAAGTCTGCAAAATGACTGGTTTATGTTTGACACGTTATGAATTATTTAATGTAGTTTCAAGCGACAAAAAATTAGAGGATTGGGACTGGCTGGCAAATCACTGCTCAGGACGAACTGTTACTTTCTGTATTCCACTTAACGCTAAAATTTCATTTTAAAGAGGTTATATTGAAGTGCACCTTGCGCCTTATTTCTGATGGTTGTTTGGTCTGTGGGTCACTATTTTGCAGCAGTTGTGCTGATGTGATATTTTATCATACACATATTTCAGCACGTCTAAATCAACTGTCAACGATACAGGCCTCTATTGAATATTGTATGACATGTCATTATTTGTCGACCTCTGGAACCCTTGCCATTGAATATGAAGTTCTTTTCTGGATCACTTGAACTATGGTACAGTTTATGGCTAAATTTTTTTTAGATTAAAAACAACTAGATCATCACTTATGGGTTATTAGGGGAAGAGGTCTATCTATGTTAAGCTCTTCATTTCTATCTTGAAGATACCGCACAGTGGTTTGGCGAATTTAATTGGTTTGAAGAAACACAAAAGTTCTGCTGCAAACATTTTTTTTTGCGATTAACTATTCACGCAGCAGAAAATTAAACAGGGATGGAGACGTAATATTTAATCAATGAATTGTCAAGTAACAGGAATCTACATTTTAGAAATGTTTTACTAAATTCTATGAATTCTTCGACGTTAATCCTCGCTGACCAAATGAGCTGAAACAGCAGCGAAATAGACCAAAGATCCTTCCGCTGCTGCTACTCCCTTCTCTTGAGTATATTTTTTCAATTCGACCGATTTCTTTCGGCTTTTCACCAAGAGGGCTTTTTCTTTCCGGCTGAAGTTGTTTCTGTTTTTTTTTTTTTTCGCAGATCAACAAAGATCTGCGGAGCGTCTCCTTGTACGAACTTCCGGATTATATGTTACAAGTGTGTTGATGTTTTTGATGTGTCTAGACCCGAATCACGACCTCAAAAGTAGTTAGAAGACATCAACACCACTTGTTAAATGATCAACAAGTACAGGTGCTCTTGATTGTTAAGTAGATTCTCCTTGTCAGCACCTTAGGAAATGGAAAAAGAACAGTATGGAGAATATGCATACTGATGTGAGGGTGTAAAGGTTTAGGAACTGACTGACCCTATGCAGTAGATCTAAAGGTCTCTAAAAACACAAGACATGCAAATAATTAGCGGGAGAGTTCTTTCGTGTTTGACATCACTAAAGCCAAGAGAATATAAACTGAGTATACAACTCTTGCTTAAGCATAACATCCTTTATTTCAACGCGTCTCCATTTTTCAAAACAATGCTTTATTTATGACCAATTTTGTTTTATTTGCCCATGTCTCAAATAGTTCGGTCGTAATTAGATTACGTCACGTCTTCTATGTGGGGGGTTGGAAAATAGGGGATATCCGTGATTATGAAATTCATAGGTATTTGGAGGGAGCAGGACACCATCAAGATTTTCAGTAGAGGATTCTAAATCTACAGAAAAACGTTATGAGTTATATTTAGAGAAAATCCCGGCAAGCTCTCATAAGCCAAGTTAGTCAGAATGGAGATTTCGTGACCTCCTATTCAAGGAGGTGCCATTTTAAGTGTAAAAATAGATAGCAACAGGGCAAGACAGGATAAATATATCAAAGACGACCTGTTACTCAGGGGGAGGGAGTAGGGGGGAGTTAGTGGTGTGCCTGCGGAACTGTCCCTGAGACGGCATATTCAAGGTCGTATTGAATACTATTTTTTGTCAATTGGTATTTTGGTAGTTAACAATCTTATAGGTAACTTTAATTCAAAGAATTGCATGTTCACGTTCGTAAAAATTGTTTGAAATTGGTGTAATATAATTAATTTTCTTTATTTTATCGCTTTTCGCTGTTCAGATCAGTAATTTGATCCAACGTATACCAACAAGATTGTTTCTAGATTCCCTACGGGTATCGAACGGAAGTCACAAAATTGGTTCATTAGTTGTGCAATTGACGTTCTTTCCACATAGAAAGAGACGATTAAGGTAATGTAGGATTCAGAAATGTCATTAATTGATCATAATAACACCATTTTTATCGCACGCAAACAACGTTTTAAGATAAGTAGCAATCACATTAAACAAAGATCAGTGTCTGCCTTACTGGCGCAACAGGAGTAAATGTGCCCCCACCCGGCAACTTCTTATCTAAATTGCATGCTATTCAAAGCACAATTTGATAGTGAAGTCTGGTCTTACCTGAAAGAAACAGCCAATGGGCTCAAAATAGATTACCTGTCAATATCGACCGGCACGGATTAACCCTAACTCGAGAGTAAAATCAGACACGAACTCCTGGGAGTGTGTTTCGTAGTTTCTGAAATAAACCGCGCCGCTTGTTCTTCCTTTGAACCTTCGCCAGTGCCGTTTACAGGCGTCGTTTCAACAAGGAAAACCACGCTTTTTTCTGTAGTCGTGACGCTTAATCGCAGTCTATCCATGTCAAAGGTTGTTAGCGATCATTAAGAACATAACTGATCAGGATAAATCCATTAGTTAGGGTGACATTCCTTTGATTTGAGACTTTTGGAAAAGGTCAGTCAAACACTGCCCCACGGCTCCATGTCGGACTAAAGTGTTGTCATCTAAAACACACGTTTTAGGTAAGTATGGCGGTGTTTGGAACCCCCTGTCATGAACGGCATTAAGCCCCATCTTTGCGGCGAGCATCCCGACATAAACATCATCAAATTTAAACCGCGGAATGCCACCAAAAATACTGACAAACAAAGTCACAACGTCGGATGATAAAATATAACCTGGCCCGGCGCAAAAGTCAGGATAATGTGTTGTTTTGTACTCCTCTCGAGTTAACGACCATTTCCCGGTTCTTTTGACCAAAGGATTTCTATACACAAATCCCATATAAAGTTTGTCTTTTGGAGTCGTTGCTCTGTTTAGGATAGCGATGACGGCCGGTGGATTGATAAAAACATCATCATCCGCTTTGAGCAAAAACTGAAAGCTACAATACCTAGCTGCCCACTCAAAACCCATCTCAATCTTAAGCGTTTGGTTCCAATAGTGTTCGTAGTAGTTCGCACGCACGAGATCGCCGTAAAACGCACCTTCGCGTTGAAGGAGCTCTGAGTGATTTTTGTCTCGGGACTGGCCGAGCAAAAACACTGTCTTCCAACGTGTGTTGATGGAGTTATCAACAGCCCATGTTTGTCGTATTGTTCTACGTCTGTCGAAATACGCTGGAGAAGAAGAGACAAGAATAAGAAGAAAATAATGCTGACTGCATTTTGTTGTGGAGGTGAGAGTTGTTTTATGCTCAAAAGGAAGTCGGTCCTCGATTGTGGATGCACTGACTGTGCTGTGAGTGCTTTCTAAATCCACGGGCGAACTCTCTATAATTTCTGTATTTTTTGTTACTGTTGCCCCTGTCTTCTCCACACTTGCCCTTGTCGGTTTCTTTAAAAGCCGTACCTCACTGTAGACATTTAACGAATGTGGCTGCCTCGCTGGAGGAGATGAAACAATTCTCCAGGTCTGGGACCAATCACGGAGACAAACGGTGACTATTACAATTGTGACTGCCACGTAGAAAACTCCTGCAATTCTCCTCAATAAACGCTTATTAGAGCAGGTGATATTCAGAGCATGCGAAGGCATCACTGCTTCAGCTGTCCAGTTCACACCGTTGTTGTCGCCTCTTGAGCCGGTGATATGCTGGGTTATACAAGGAATGTTTACGTAGACGGCTCGCCGCATGAATTCCAAGGTCCCATTATCGCAGATTAGCATGTTTTCGGAAGACGATGTTTTTGCGTATTTTGTTTCAACTCAAACACTCATTACACAAGTTATATCAAGTGTTGATTGATAAATATCGGTATGAGTATCTCTTCGATTATGTCATCATTGTCACGCGAAAGCGTTAACCGGCTTTGAAACCGTTTTGATGTTACTCTGTGATTTGCGCGTGTTAGGCGTTTTACACAAAGGAAAATTGACTCCGTGGACGAGGGAAGACTTTGATCTGATCTGCCTTTAACCAACACCCACTGCAAACATATTAGTAATATCATTCACAAAACTGTTTCTCATGACCTTTAGTACTTGTGGCTTGAATGTTTAGCCAACGGTTACGTTTAGTTACTATGCAACCATGAATCAAGTTGCACGGATGGAAAACCGCACGGACCATGTTATTTTCCTCGCTCAGGTTTTTTACCAGATTACCAAAAAAAAAACGCTTTTAAAATTGACTTTAGAAAAAATAGTGAATAAAAGTTTTGAATATATTCAATTGGGTGAAGTGAATCTTAACAGGAAGTTCCTCATTAGCAAATTGCGTTAATAATCTTATTGATAAGTTTTAGTTTTGTTTGTTGTGGTTTTTACGAATTATTTCATCTTCTTTAGTATTTTACAGAATATCCTTGGGTAATTCCTTTAACGATGACTTGAGACACAAATTGCCAACGTTCCGACTAGAAACAATTCTCTCGTCAGGGAAAAAGGTGACTTTTATGCCACCATTAGATCATCGTCTGTTGAAAGTAAAACTTTTCAACCAAAATCTGCGCCCTCCTACTAAAGGCATCTTCAAGAGGATTAAAACTGAAACATGCAGGCAATTACCCCTTCGTGAAAATGTGGGGATAATTTTCTAAATATTGTATTTGAAGGAAAGTGGTCAATACTCTTCGTGCCCCCCCCCCCCTTCCTCCATTACACTGTCCCCGGTCCCCTCCGCGCTCGCTCGCTCTGAAGACACTGTTGACTTAACGAACCAAGGTTCTAAGAGATATCTAGCACCAAAGTCTCACACAAGTTAGCTGACCGTTGACAGAAATTAAATGATTAGATTTTAAAATGTCGTTAATCTTACCATCTGTAGCATTGACGATCGAAAGTCTATAAATCAGCTCAGATTCCTTGGGGCACAGCATCTGACCGCGATTGGAACAAAATAAATCTTCCCTCCACTCCCACCCCCACTAACGGCGGAGGATCATGTTGCAAACGGTACGCCAGTATATATAGTCAATTTTTTTTTTGAACGAGGGATTTTTCTATCTTGATATTTTGGAATCAATATATTTCAACAAATGAATAATTAACTCTATATCTATCACAGTCCATGGAAAAATGGAATTTCCGTCGTTTAAGTGCTTATAAGTTGACCGGAAATTAAATATTTCTGCGACAAGAGAACGACAACAGGCCCTGAGCCTTGCCCTTCAAGTGGAGTAGAGCTATGGGCATGGGCAACGGCGATTGAATATTTAGGTTTGGGTTTTCACGTGTTTCATCTTTTTAAGCAGATACCAAAAGCTCGCGTTTTTTAAAATAGGGGTTTTAATTCAGTCCTGCCTCGTAAGATGGACTGAAAAGGCTTGAGCCGTACCCTTCCTACCCCAAATTTCCTGTAATTTTTTCCTCAAAGTTGTTTATTTTCGCAGAGATTTTTACGTATGATGCACGATCCTCGCAGTAGAGAGCGCTATCTATGCAATAGCGAAAATCAGACCTGAAAAAAATTAGGCCTGTACGGGATTCGAACCACTGACCTCTGCGATACTAGTGCAGCGCTCTACCAATTGAGCTAACAAGCCAACTGGGAGCAGGCCGTTAAGTTGATTCGTAATTTTTNAAAAGATATGTCTCTTGGTGAAGTAATTTCTGAGCCACAGTGCCCCTTGGTGAAAATTGGGATTAAAACTCTTTTCAAACATTGAAATGGAGTGCATAGCGAAACCACAACAAAACAATTTCTACAAAAGAAACAGTAAAGGTAAATTTGGAGAATTTGCATTAGTTGGGGATCATTTCCTTTTATTATCTTAAGCTGTTGTGTGATTTGGGGTTGATTTCGATGCTAGTCACTCAGAAGGATTTCAGGGTTAAAAGTGTAAAAACATCAGATACTTAGCAGCAGAACAATATTACGTATGATGCACGATCCTCGCAGTAGATAGCGCTATTTAAGCAATAGCGAAGTTCAGACCTGAAAAAAATCAGGCCTGTACGGGACTCGAACCACTGACCTCTGCGATACTAGTGCAGCGCTCTAACAAGTGTAAAAACATCAGATACTTAGCAGCAGAACAATATTACGTATGATGCACGATCCTCGCAGTAGAGAGCGCTATTTATGCAATAGCGAAGTTCAGACCTGAAAAAAATCAGGCCTGTACGGGATTCGAACCACTGACCTTTGCAATACTAGTGCAGCGCTCTACCAATTGAGCTAAAAAGCCAACTGGGAGAAGGCTGTTAAGTTGATTCGTAATAAACCCGTGATGTGACCAATATTTCAACCAAATTACCTTGCTGTAATGGTAGTTAATAGACAAATAAGAGAGATATCTTCAACTACTTCACATGGCTTGTATGTCATAGATTTTTGTCGGGTACGTTTTCTGGTGCTCGACTGCAACATGCGAAATAAACCTTATGGCTAAAAAATCGCGTTTAGTGTCTATAATGTAGAATATATATTGATCCTTCTCTGTGGCACTCTGCCACACCTTAATTTCTCTCTAATCAGATATTCGCTGTACCTTGAACTTCTCAGTTTATTTGCATAAAGATAAACCCTTATAGAATAAACCTCGTGCTTGAGTACTTTTGATCGAGTCCGATCGCTAATTTGTGCTGTTTATTGTAAATGGAGAGTCCGATATCATTTTTCTTTTCACAAGAAATAAGTCAGACATAAAACTCCCAATATGAATAATTTTCAAAGTCATACCTATTTATCAAAAGTACATACTTGTGAACATAGAAAACGCCTTAATACTTTTCTTCCATTTTGCAACCTTTACCGTTGCACTGGAAAACTCGTTTTCTCGTTAAGACTTGTTAAAATTTTGTCATCATCAAAGTTTTCTTTTCGAGGTATTTTTCTCCTTCGCATTTGGTTTAATTTAGAAGATGTACTCATTTAATGATACAGCAACACCCCGATCTCAGCGATCTTTGCCGGCATGGTTTGGTTTCAATTCAACAACCTCTTGGAAACACTTATTCTTGTACCATCCAAAATCAACTAATTTTGTTTAAGGAATTTCAAGTGCAGAGACAAGTGATATTAAGCATAACTGTTCCTCATAACAGTCTCTGTTATTGTAGCGATATTAAAGGTTGCCAAGAGAACGTAAAACTCATCAAAGGTTGACTTGGGTTGATCATTCGCCAAAAACGCGCATTAAGACATCAAAAAGTCTTTCCAGAGCTTTATGTGAATATTAAATGACGATGAGTAATCTAAGATAAAGTACCTTTGACTAACCATCAAGAATTCTTTGTCTTGTTTCATCCCGCTATGACTTTCGTGCAAACTTCGGTTTCTTTCTGCACGTGATCCGAATGCATTATCACGGTGTGACATGCTGAGCAATGGCTAAATGAACGATCGATCCTTGTTGTCGATGAACCGAGGCCAATTTACAGTTGGGAACACTTATGATACCGTTGCCCGGTGACAAAAGATGAGGGATACTTAGCGAGGTATACTTAACATACTCAAACGAAATATCTGCTTTTAATTCGATTGCAATCGTGTCTTGTTTAATCTTAATTTGTTCTTTGAGTTGCTTGGGTTGCGATCACATTCCTTGGGATGGGGAAATTTGTTGAAGCGGATATTCTACTGTCTAGGTTTATCACCAGCTAAAGGAATCCTGAGCATATGGTTATAGAGGAATCTGCTCCAAGCACAACAACATATAGGAATACTTTTGAGAATCGAAGCAGATCACACAGATTCATCGGCATGCACTGGGTCCAATCTTAAACTCGAATACATCAGCCTAAAGATATAGATGAGATAAAAATTACCCAATCTATTTTTCTTCGGGAGAATCATTCACTACATGGCCAGTGAAAACTGGCCATGCAGACATGATTCTGTCATAAAACGCACTGACATTAACCTCAACGCACAGAAAAGTACAAACGCTACCAAATACCTTCCCTTTAACGCCAGGAACTCAAATCTTGTAATTTTGTGTGAAACTGTATCGAATATTGCATACAATAGGACATACGTGTTGCTAAGGAAACAAAGAGTGTTTTGATCAAAGATACTAGAGCATATTGTACACTGCCCAGTTTAAACGTCTTCAGTAGTACTGAGCTGATGTTGTACGTTTGTGATTTCCGTTAGTTCATTTATTCCTGCTTGAGAGTTCACCCGAACGACATGAAAAGGAGATAGGCTCTTCAAAAGGGAATCAGTGATAAAGCGTGCTTTTCCACTCTGCATCTTTAAACCATGCAAAACCAGAGTAGTCATGTTAGGACTGTGAGGCAAAAAGAACAAAACTTCATGAGAAGCCCTGATCTCGATAAGCGGAAAACCTTCAAGTGTGTCCGAAGACTCGGCTCCGAAGAGCAGAAGGATGTGTCTGAGCGACCATGTGCAATAAAACTGGTTTTTCGTTTTTTATCTGATTGTCTGAATGTTTGGTTCGATTTTTCTTGGTCCATCATTGAAAGAAGTGAATCGAAACTTTTGGAATGCTGGATTACTTTAGATGCTCGTTGGAAGATTTCTCTGTAACCTTCTTCTATTAACAAACCCCATAGTTAATTTGTTGATGGATTCAATCTGAAAGTTGCTGTCTCTTCCGTGGGCAGGAAAATATTTAATAACAAAATATACTTACTTAAAACTTAAAAACACACTTGAGCAATTGCTTTTAAACTTCTTATCAATATTTTTGAAGTTTAATTTACACATTAAGGCTATGGAACCTTTTGAAAATATTTCATTATTTTTTCTTTACCGTCGATAGCCGGGGATCGACTGGTTAAAAGAGAGGAATGTTTGTACCACTATGACGATAGAAATCGCGTTGAACAGTTGCCACTCGGACGTGCCTTCGAGACGGAATTTCGAGAGGAGGGCGGTGTCCATACAGAGAGGAGCTGAGGACTGGAACTGACTTTATTTGTTCCTGTGGAAAGATCAAGTTAAAAAAAACTGCTTAAGATCAACTGAATAGCAATCTGCGATGTATAACGCAAGTTATGCTTCGGTTGAGTTAGGGGAAATTCGTACATTTGAAAGATCAGAAAAATGTGAAACGCTAAATGAAGGATGATAATAGCGCCGGCTATATCCACGAACTCATGGCTCTTTCCAGTATAACACTTTTCTGGGTACTTTGGTAAGACTGCATTGCGCCGTTTGCGATTTTTGAAGGAAATTTTGCAAACACCCCAATGTCGGAAACGTAGTCAGACCACAACACCGAGAGCTACATTCCCAACTGTTTAAGATTCTAATCGAATGGCTTCTTGAACGTCCATTGCTAATGACCAGTCAAAAAAATTGCAGAAAACGGGGCCTACAGTTTTACCGTCGTTTCCGAGAAGAAAAGAACGTCTAACCATTTGCAAATATCATAGCAAAGTCAGTTGCTTCTCGACAGTTGTTTAACGACTGTGGAAAAGAGCTGTCTTTGCTATTAGACCATCAAATTGATTTATATCTTCGACGGGTTTAATACGAACCAATATAATGACTACCTCTCAGCTGACTTGTTAGCTCAGTTGGTAGAGCACTGCACCGGTATCATAGTGGTCATGGGATCAAATCCCGTACGAGCCTGAATTCAGGCTTTTTCTTCTTTTTTCAGGTCTTTATCCCACTACAACATGAGTAGGGTTTATTACTGCGAGGATCGCTTTCATACAGGCCATGAATGTTGGTGCAGACTGGGGCTTAAACCTTCGATTTCTCTCTCTCTCTCTCTAACCTGAGGTAACCATACGGCTGTGATGAAAATTGTGGGGAAATTGTGTCGTAGGGATTAGCGAGTTTTGTATTCTGAGAAAATATGTTTAACACTTCGGTCAAAAATCCCTTTACCTCAGAATTAACATTTAGTCCTCGAGTATGTTCTCTGTCGTCCCGGTGAAGCTTACTGCAATATCCAGTTTTTACAAGAAACGTTCTGTCGTAAGCTGCTATCCTGTCGTGCTAAGGAGAAAGTGCATTTGAAACGGATATGAAAGAGAAACGTGACACAACGTAACTCAACACAAGAAAATTTGGTTTGGTTTTATTATCGGCGGTAGACAGTCACCGTAATGAAGCTTTCTAAAGATTACTTTTCAATCGTTAGTCCATCGTCAGAGCAAATGACTAACTATAATAACTAAGGCAATTGCAACCTATCTTGGGGTAGGAACAGTCAAGGCAGGTTGGGGTAAAACATTCTGATCTTGAAGCCTTATCGTGCGGATAATATTAAGTCCCAAAATGGACAATCATCGGTGACAGTTACTAACACTTCAACAACCTGAGTGGGAGTCATTATCAGAATCAGTTCAAGAGTTGTTTGTCAGTTGCTTTCTGTACTCATTTAATACCTGGTATTTGAAACGGATTTGCTAAGGAAAGGATGAAGAGTTTTGAACCAGGAATATTTGATCATTTGTCATTACACACTGTAAAATAATATGCTGTTATTACACACTCCAAAAAAAATTCTGCTTTAGAATTGAAGATCAATGAACCATAAAGGAATCAAGGCCAGTAAAGTATAATACGATCGTTTTCTAAATAAGGAAACTTCTGTAAAACGTCTCACCAGTTTACTATTAAATGACTTAAAAGATCCACAGTTATATATATTTTAGAGCTGAGCAAAGAGTTTCCAGCAATCTGATTGGTCGAGCGGTTCCTTATAGGACGCTATATAAACCGCTCCACGCGGTTTATATTTAACAATTATTCGCCGAAGGTGAGGTGAATATTGTCGAATAATCCCCTCGACTTCGTCTCGGGGATTATTCGACGATATTCACCTCACCTTTGGCGAATAATTGTTAGCCAGCACTGTGTAGAGCGGTATATAACTGATGAGTGCTTAACGCAAGAAACTCAGAGTTGCAGCGAATCATGTGTGTCTCCTTCTAGTCTCTTAATGTTATATATATTTCTTAATATATATATATTTCTGTTTTTTGAAAAGTTCTATGAAACTCAACAGGCTTGATTTGTAGTAGTACAGCGTGAAAGGACATCAGGTGCTAACCTTTTTGTTTGTGTTGAAGTAGTTAAATGGAATATCTGAATGCATATGTCTTGAAAAATTTGTTTTCCAGGCCTTGGAAAGCGCTTCACTGCACTTAGACGTTATTAAATGAGAGTCTGAAACACGTTTTTCTCTCTAGGATGAAAATGAAATAAAATCGTTTCGTAATAAGTAAATGATAGTCATACGAAAGGATAAGAAACTCCGTGTTTTACCCTCATACTCTCTCGCCACTGTTCCTTGGTTTGCTCAGGAGTGTAAGTTTTCAGTCCATAGTTGGACCTCAGACAGCCTTTCGCTCGCGATTCTTCCATGACACATGCACATGCAAGACTTTGGATAAAAACACAGCGAACTTTAAGCAAACGTCTTGTTGACTGTATTTGTTTGTGACGTTTATAATTGCGTAGAGCGCGTGCGTTGAAATGTTTTTATCGTCTATCGCCAGAGTGATAGTAGGTAGGACATACACACTCACTGATATTAACGGGAACGAAAACGGCATGTTGCTCAAGTAATGAAAAACAGAGAAACAGAAGGCATGCTAAAACAAAGAACGAAAGAAGATAAAAATATTTTAAAATGAAGAAATGGCCACATTGTTGTATGGTCTAAGTGAAAGCAACTTTCCTCTTACATTCTTAAAATCAGGCAAAAAGGAAAACAAAAAACAGGTTTAAGAATTCTTTTTAAACCACGAAGTCTATTTCGCTTAATCTCTTTCATTTTAGTGATTTTTACCCGATTACGCACGCATCCAACGAGCCTGACGCGAATGTCCTGGAGATGAGCTTGATATTTAGCGGAACTCGGAGGGATTGGTAACTGAGCTAAAATTCAACATGGCGGCCGAAGGTCCTCAGCAACCAGTGAAGAAAACTTTATCAAAAAATCTCATGGAAATGAAGGTAAAGCATCCTTACATTCGTCAGAGAATCAGTAAGGCATTTAAAATACTATCCTCCAATCCATAATATTTAGTTCATGAAAAGAAAAGCAGAAACAGACTATCGTCGCCAGCTCGAAGAAGAACGACAACGTGCTATCCAAGAATCACACTGGGTGCTAGACGGACAAGAACAGGAAGATAGGTTAGGATTGAGTGATTGATAGAGAAAAGGGATTTATCATTTAAATTTGTCCTAAGGTTTTAAAGTGCTGTTGTTTTATGCTGAGTCAGCAATGGGTAGTATCCATTGAAACCGTTGTTTGGCCTAGATCTCGTCACGCAACGTGCTCTCTTCCCCACTAGATAGTGGGTTGACATTCCCGTGTTTTCTTTAAATTAACCTGCGAACTCCTGTGAATGATGAAACTTTAACTTCTCCTCTCAATTTCAATACACTAATCAATGATTAGGCGATGAGAATAGCCAAAATTATCAGTGAGGGAGTGCAATTTTGATTTGTTTTTAATTCTCCAAACTAATTTACGAAGAAATGTATAGCAGCTAGGTGAGAGAAGTACTGAGCCGACCTTGGAAGCCAAAGGTGGCTCTGAGCTGCTGTCTGTGTCACATTTTACGTGGGCGGCTCATTTAGCTTTGAAGTGCTGGTACAGTAGAGAATCTGCTCATTACTGAGCATGTTATGATCATGTTTTGGTTTTGGTTACTATAGCGATGGCCTAGTCAGCTCAGAACACCCCTAATGTTTACTTTAATCATTTTGATGTTTCCAGCACTTTTTGATTTTACACTATTTAAATTTACCATGCGAATTTTTCAACATTTTTAGAAGTTGTGTTGAATTTGAACCAAGTTATGTCATATGTGAGCAACTTTACCGAAATGGAAGGATGTCTTTCAAAAACTTTAACCCAGCAGTTGAAGTAAGTCTCTTTTATATCTGTAACTTTTTTATCGTCTTTAAAAAAAGTACTCAAGAAGCATAATTTAAGTTTGGTGCCAAAATATTTAACTTTTTATTTCCTATTTCCTTTGGTATGTTCATTTGAGAAAGATGTAGATGAAACAAGCTGTAAAAAAATTGTTATTGAATTATTGGTGAATGCCTGGAAGAATGATGTTCCTTATTACATGCTAATTAAAGTTTAGTTGTTATATAAGAAACAGACCTTCACAAATGAAAATAACTTGCTCCTGTTCAATTTAATAATTTTGGAGAAAAATGTCTACTGCCTCCCGGTTAGCTCAATTGGTAGAGCGCAGGACTGTTGTGTGGGAGGTCGTGAGTTCAAATCCGGCCAGACCAACACTCAGGGTCTTTAAATAACTGAGAAGAAAGTGCTGCCTTTGTAATAATATCTGTAAATGGTTAGACTTTCAAGTCTTCTCAGATAGGGACAATAAATGGAGGTCCCGTCTCACAACCCCTTGTATGTGTTAAAAAAAAAATTGTGGGACATTAAAGAACCCACACACTGTTTGAAAAGAGTAGGGCACATGGTGCCCAGTGTTGTGGTCTATCTTTATGTAGTGTCTATCTTTGTGTAGTGTCTATCAAATTGATGGGGGGTACTGCGCCTTTGATTATTGTATAGAAAGGGTGCAATATAAATAAGGAATTCATTCATTCATTCATTCATTCATTCATTCATTCAATACAGGTAGATAAGATTGGGGCTGGGGTTCTGATTTTTTAATTTTTTTTTTACAAGATAAAAGACTGTGGAACTCATTTATCTCTGTGCAATTATTTGCAAATTCTGCCAACAGAAAATGTTTAAAGAAATGTTAGCTGAAGAAGATCTAGCACAGTCAGAAGCAAGAGAAAGGGAAGAAACTGTCTCTGACGAGGAGATGGCTAAAAGGTAATAAATACCTTAATTGCAATCCTCAAATTTTTTTATGAGTATCTTGGCAGCCTCTCGATTCAATTTCTCTGACATGCTTGGGAAATAAAAGATCTTAGCCAGCTTGTTTGGATTCTATTATAATCATTGTACTTGTTTGAAATTAATTATTTGTTTGTAATAGTTGATTTAAGAGGTATGCCTTTATGCCTGTCAAGTAGCTGGAGTAGCTGACAAGTTTACATTGGACCTCAAAGATGACAGTCACTTACCCCATAAACAATACTGGCTGAATTAAACCATCCATCTTTGTTTCTCTCAACAGATATGAAAGCCTTGTGGGAACAGTTGCTAAGAAATTCACAACAAAAAGAAAAAGATCATCAGTTGGCTTTACTTTTGAACCTGACAGCCCGTCTTCAAACCAACTGTCAAAGAGAACGAAACATGGTTTTATGAAACCTAGAGACTGATAACAAATTTCTGTTCACTATTTAGCCTGATTGTTGGACAGTTTCAGTTCCCTTTCTTTAATCTCAGTTACTGTCAATCTGTCCAATTATCAGTCTAGGTACTAGTATTTTATCTATATATTAAGTTTTTGCAAGCATAATTTAATATTTTAAAAATATATACGCAGAACAGTTTTCATGTACTGTGATATTTATTTCTACCTCCTGTACGGTCAATCAGGAATGAATTTTTGTTACATTTGTACTTGAAATTGTCCGACTTAGAACATAATGATAACATTCTTTGAACTGGGTATACTAATATCAAAATAGTACTAAAATGAAGATAGTAGATTTTTAAATATATTTCCACAATTACAAAAAATTTCAAAAAACTTTCCTATCAAAATTAACCTCCAGCCAGTGTTCTCCAGAGATTTTCTTGGTAGCCAGCCAAAGAAAGGGAAGAAAAAACAAGCCTGCCAGGATAAAATGTTTTTCTGATCAAGACAGGTAGCTGCCACTTCAGAAAGGAACCAGGGAAATTGCTGACCACCAGTGGTTCTGAAGAACACTACTCTGACCAAGACAATGTAAACTGTGAAGAAACTTGAAACTGTTCAAAAGCCAGAGAACCAAAATTGATAGCTGTTTCTTGATGAAAGGAATCCAAACCAGATTAAGTAACAATTTTAAAATATGCTAATTATATTCATTTTCCAAGGCCCATTCAAGAATGGAATAATTTGTAGCAATAGATTAAATAAATGTGCCTGGTAAATGCATGGGTTCAGGCATCTGAATTGTTAAAATTATTGAAATCCTAATAAAATCCAAACCAATCTGGACAAACTGTTTAATTTCAAAATTCTTAAATATGCAAGGAAAACTAATCAGCTCTGACTCATTTGTAAACCGCATACAACATAATGGGAATATTCCACCAACAGAATTGTTAATTAGCTTTTCATTAAAATACACAGTAACAACTATAAAGGATTGTTACTTTGGGTCTTAAGTTTCAATAAATTAAATGAAACTGTGCTTTTTGTAGCAATAATAATAACTTTCCTGTATTAAGAAAAATATATTTTTCTTAAATAGATCTTCCAAACAATTTTGTAAATTATGACTATGTCAAGCTGTTTGCTGTCTTAGAGACAAGTAAAAGCCAAATCTGCTAGGAAATCTTGCAGTGTTTTTCAAATGCTTGTGTGCATTTGTAACAAACATTGCAATTTGCAAGATCACCTTTTCCACTAATCCTTGGTTTAAATTTCAAGACTTAATTTAAAAGCCCTCTTTCCACAACTAAATAAAAGACAAATGATCTTAACTTGCTGTTCTCCCACCATCTTGGATTTTTCCAACTTTTGGAAAAAAGAATTTACAGATTTACAAAACCACTCCTACAGGGAATTTCACCAAAACTCTTCAATTTTGATTGGATAACTTATCACCTTGACCACCTCAGGGCTAATACCAGAAAAATTCAGGATAGTAAAAAGTTTAAAAACTCTTGTCATCTCAAATGCTCTTCCACATACACTGTAGGCTTGATGACAGAAAACAAGACCAAGTGTAGCTGTATACATTTGAATGATTCGGGGTGAAAATAAGATAAGCAAGACGATGTTGTGTTTTACTTTGTATGAGGACTGTCAAAATAAACAATTATTTGGAATAATGGTAAATCAGTCCAGATTAAAAAGCAAATCAAACCAGTTTTAAACCATTTTGACTTAAAATTAGTTTGAAACAACAACATAACTATCCACAAGGAAATAAAAAATTCAAATGATAGTTCATCCAAAACACCTGAACAATAGCTATGGAGTTTGAGCACCTTTGGCAATTTCATTTACTGCAGTTAAAACAGCAGATGCAGATTTTGACCTCTTGTGGCCTTTTTTAGCTGTTTTATGACCAATAAACTCTTTCTCTTCTAGCTGTGCTTTTAAGTCAAAATCCATTTTAAAATTCTTTTCTTCTGATATTAGTTGAAATTCTTCTGGTATAGCCACTATGACATGACCATTGGCAAGAACTTCTGGCTCTGTCTCATCACAAGTCCTGTTCAACTCCCTTCGTGCTCTGCGTATCACATATGTCATTAAAAGTATACTGATGATGAACTGAACAAACAGGATAATGTATCCTCCAGATTGCTCTTCAACAAGATCTTCCAATGAACGGAATGTAGATCCCATGTATGAATTTAATGCTTGTGTAGGAAGAAGTCCCAGTGTAGATGCAATTACATATTTAGCTGTACTAACATTAGTTACCTGTAAGAAATCAGAAAACACAAGTTAATTTCATTATTAAACAGAATTAGATAAGACCCCAGGATTTTTCTTGTTCCCAAAGTATGATCATAATTTCGTAACAAACGAAGACAATGATATTTGCAATACTGATGCATTTTGATTGGGAAAAGAAAGCTTTGAAAGTTGAACTCAAACATTTAATTATTGTTTATAAACGAAAAAAGAAAAGTTGCATAGAAATATCAACTCAAAACTTATCATATCATACAGTACATAGGTTCACATAGGTTTATAAAGGCTTATTACTGGTTCCTAGACATCTTTAAAGGTTAAAAAAAAATTGTTCATTGGTATTGTTTTTCTACTCTAGAATCATAGTGAAATATAAAATAATTAAAAATCATTCCCTGTTCTCTGGGCTGGACAGGCTTAAAAATGTCAAATGATGGAATCCTAAAATTCTGTTAGGCTTAATGTAATTTGGCACATCAAAAATGTGCCTTTCACGAAAGGTTAGATCCAGTGCATCAAAGTCTCAAGTGGGCAAAAACAGTGTCATAGATATGGACTAATAGGGTACCAGTCTCTGATAAGAAGGTCTCAGGATGCTTCCATTAGTCTATATTACATTGGTTTTGCCCCCTTAAGAGCTTAACTGACGTGACATAACGCTCAACAACTTTGATATATTTGAAAGCTAGTGAAGGTCGGTTAAAAAAAATAAAATGATATATCCCCATTTTAAAACCTTTTAAAATTGCAAATACAGTCTTTGCTTTCTGTTTTATGCACAAAGCAATACTTCACTTAATGTGGTGGTGAAAGGAGGTAAGTATAAAGTTTACATCAGCGTCAAATAACGCAGACTTTGAAATTGCCAGAAAGAGGTATTTATAATGTTACGAGGAACGCTTCTCAGCCGTACACTCTGAATTTATGCCAAGAACACGCGCGATAACTAAAAAGTATAAGTGTAAAACAACCTGGCGATGCCAGCAAAAGGTTACTCAGAGCCCCTCCCACTGTAAAGTCATCGACTCCTTCGTAATTCTAGGAGTAGTGTTTGACAATTGTAGTGTATTAGAAACATGTTGACACGAAAAGCAGATGGTCGTCTCAGAAGGTTGAGAAAGCTCTCAACTCGAAAAGGCTGTTTACTCACCGACGGATAAAAGAGGAAACAAAACCTTGCGGTCGACAATGTGATAGGAAAAATACTGCTTATTATTACTTACCGAAAACAATCCATTTTGCAGTCCAAACGGTACCGGTGTAAGCCGAGTTAATGCGATGACTTTGAAACCTCGTTTGCCCTCCACGACACGCATGATAGCTTTTAAACTGTCCGACTCCAATTTTGAGCGTACGAAATCTCGTAAATATCGTCTACAGACAACGAATGCAATGGATAAACCACAGAGTACGGAAAATATAACAACGACAAATCCAAGTACAAATCCATACAAATAGCCCGCTGCTACGTTGAGAAAGATGTAACCCCATGCCATTGGAAAAGAAACAACTGTAAACATGACTACAAACAACAGAATCCCTTGCCACTCTTCCAAATTCTGTAGCGCTTCCAGTACGTCTTTAATGTATCGGCGACACAGAATAACCAAGATAAGTCCAATTATTAGGAAGATTAGAGCTGTACCAGAGATCTGATAGCATCTGGGTTGTGTTCGTTTGCTAACAACTTGGTCAAACTTTGTTGTTTCGCCGAGACACTTTTGCGCGCTCGACTGAATTTGTTCCGTGCACTTTTGCCCATATTTAAACACCATTCTTCAATCAACCTAACTTTTCTTCTGTAAGGCCAATGGATAAATTGTGAAATTAAGGACGATCAGTACATTATATTGTTGTGTAAGACTGTAAACCACGCCAAAAAGCGTGACTTCCTGTGAAATCAATCCATGGCAATACACTTCGCTAACGCCCTGAGTCGACTGTGTCCGACTGTGTCCGAATGTCAAAGTATTGAGTAAGCTTTTCTTGTCAGCGGACTCTTCAGCAGTTTGTAACCATGCCTTTTATCTGTATTAAAGTTTCGGGCATTATTTTGTTCCCTCCTGTTTTGATCCAAGAAGAGGGCTTATATATTGTGTCAGATTGAAACGATATCAACTTCGCCCATATTATTTTAAGGGATTAAATAGATGTGCCTATTAACCCACTAATACGCTTTCGAAGACGAAAATTATCCCTTAAAAACTAAATCACTGCGAAGTGCTTAGTAGCCGAGCTTTAGAACTCATCAACAGACTGTCTCCTCTCGAGCAACTTTCACGGTGCATTACCCAGCAGTAATCACAATTTTTCTCACAGGTATGTTTGAAACTGATAATATTATTCTGGTATAAGGTATCGTTCTTGGGCCCTTGATCAACAGAGACTACAGTGTTTCAGTAACCTTGGACCTTCATGCCTCATGCATGTAGCTAGCCCTCTGTTTTGTCAGACTTAAGTTGAAAATTTGCCCAGATGAATTTCACCTCATCATTCATCGCATTTCTCAGAGAAAAGATAAATCTCATATACCACCACTATTTACAATACTACATTATTTGATGTACATTTGTATATGCTATGTTTATGTAACAGTCATGCAAATAATAGATAGAAGCCCTATACAGCTTGGCCTAGTTGCATGTTACTGATTTTTCTCATCAATGTACTCTTTTGATCAATTGAACAGTATCACTCCTGTCGGTGAGAAAGGAGGCCTATGCTCATAAATATATGTGGCTCAGTCCATATGTCAGAAGCAGAACTGGAAGGTTATTATTGCAGAGACTTGCTGAAATTGACAGCCAAGAACTGGAAAAGGAGAAAACATCAGTGAGTAATAATAATAATAATAAAACTTTATTCAGACACAATAAATATTTAAAGCCAAAGGCTTGTGGAGTTGTGTTATTAACTAAAAATATGAATAAAAAACATATATTTATTTTAAATAATAAATCAGTATATATCCCAGACACTGCCAAGCTGCCACCCCGAATCCAACAAACACAAACAAAAACCAACAAATTATTGATTTCCATCAACATTTATCAAACCCAGATTGAGCCCCCAACAGTGCTCGATAGCAAAGTAAGTCAATCCCTATATGATACTTAAATAACACATTAGGATCAACTCAACCATATCTCAAGAATAAATATACATAGTATCAGTATTATACTTTGGTTTACATCAATCAGTTAAACCATCAAAATTAAAATATAAGAAATGATGTGACTTAGTTAAAAGTTTACAGAAATGCTTTATACTGTTAGTAGCTATGTAAAAATCCATCATTCTGATCCTTATTATTGAACCTCTATGATGAATTGATTGCTTCACATAACTTGTGCAGGGATTGGAAAGGCAAAAGAGACAAATAGGCCCATGGCCCCTAACTGAAAAGTTATGGGCCATTTGGTAAAAGTATGGGCCGGATGAAATGGAATACAGAAATCATAATGTGCAATTCATGATACGTAGAATATTTTATTTATTTATTTATTTATTTTTTTGCAGTTCACTTTTTAATTTTATTTATTTAGGTTTTACATCACTCAATCAATCAATGAATCAATTGAACTTGACTCTGCAGGATAAGGAAATAATTTATTGTAAAACTGTTACTGTCTGTAAAACCAGACCTACTTGCATTTCAGTGACACACATTTAGGATTTCTCAGTAACAGTTTATGATTTCTAACTCTGGCAAACAAACATGTTTTAAAGTAAAACTCAACTGTATGATAAAAAATTTTAACAACTGCAGTAAAAACAGTTTACAAAGAACTTTCAGTCAAATTGACTTAATTCATTGTTGGCTTTGAATAAGTATAACTTAACAGGAAAGTGTGGAACTTGTTTCGCTCGATGGACCTTGTCCTTCAAACTCGTCGCGATTAGTCTCGGCTGACTCGGCGTTCGATTCCGTGTTAAAAAAAGTTGAAAGTTTTCTTTGGCCTTGAGTACTATCTAACTTTGGTAGTTTCTTTGGAGGCATTATCTTGATTTGAAATGCAAAAGAAATGAATTCATAGCACAAACCCCGGGGACACAAAGCACATGGCGTGCTGCAGCGGAACCTCATTTGCGAAATGAGTGCAAGTAGAAGATCTGGGGAAGAAATTGAATGAACACGGAAGTTCGCTGATCAAAGAAGCAAATACACCAGTAAATATTTCATTATTTTATTTGTTGTAACACAAAATGAATACACAGATTGAACTGCTTATCACCTATTACGTGACTAGGGTGCATGTTGAGCTTGGTAGGCAGTTTTATAATGTGACATTTTAAAAATTTTTGCACCATATTTGCATGGTGCACAGCCTTCCCAATCCCTGCTTGTGTTAAAATGTGAAACTCTTACATGATGTTTACCTCTTGGCCTCGGGCCATTAGGATTACCAACACACTGAAGCAAAATACTATCCATGCACTTCAGAACTAAGTTATTAAAAGCCTTATAAACAAACTTCATTAACCTTAATTTATACATTATAGAAAGAGTATACCAGCTTACTTTATCTAGTATCTGGTCACCACTAAATTGTTCAAGAGAAAGATTATAAATAATCTTAGCAGCTCCTATGTGTAATTTTTCTTAACTCTGAAATTGTTCACTGTTTGATGAACTTCCCTAGACAGAAATGGCATTGGTCACTGGGGTAGTATGACTTTGAAGTAAAGATCAGCAAGCAAATTAGTTGGTAAACAGTAGCTTCTTCCGAGTAAGTGGGGTCTGTTGAGAAATCCTTTCTTTACATTGCTAGATATGATGTCCAATTTAGCTTGTTATCCACTATGACTCCCAGAAGTCTTGTACTATTAACCCACTTAACAACATTTTTACCAGTGTTAAGAGAGTTTTTATGGGGCCCTGGAAAGATCCTCTGTAAAAGAGCATTGCTTTGCATTTGGTTGGATTAGGAGTGAAGGAAGTGGCCATATACCAGGCACACATTTCAGACAAAGCAAGGTTAAGATTTGCTGTAACTTCATCAGTAGATTTACCGATGATGTAAAGGGTTGTGTCATCTGCATACGTGTTGACTGGGGCATTACTTTTCGACCCAAAAAGTATCTCGAAATTTTGCTTTCTGTGTGTGCCCGAGATTTTCAGGCCACCATTTTGCATTTGGATCGAAAGGCCGTCGAGTGTACAAGCTGCCAATGGGTTTGTGGTCAGTTTGAGCTTTTAAAACCACAATAGTGACCTGAAATCTGCTCGACTAGCTTCAAAACACAGTTTTTCACAAAAGCTGTGGCTATTAATGGGTTAATTGACGAAGTCATGTCATTGGTATATAGGGCAAAGAGAAGTGGCCCTAGTACTGACCCCGGTGGTACTCCATACCTCACAATATCTGACAGAGTTTCTCTGTGGTGTTATGTGATTGTTGGTATTATGGGTACCAGTAGTTCTAAAGGACCCTTGTTAATTGTTGATCAGACATAACTCTGAGATACAATGAATATATGAAGTTCATATACTTTGAACTGTGGTTATAGATACGTATGATGCACGATCCTCGCAGTAGATAGCGCTATTTATGCAATAGCGAAAATCAGACCTGAAAAAAATCAGGCCTGTACGGGACTCGAACCACCGACCTCTGCGATACTAGTGCAGCGCTCTACCAATTGAGTTAACAGGTCTGATTTTCGCTATTGCATAAATGGCGCTATCTACTGCGAGGATCGTGCATCATACGTATCTAATACCGCAGTTCAAAATATATGAACTTCATATATTTCATTGTATCTAATCCTAATGATTGTTAAGTAATTTGTAGTTGGATTGGCCTTGTAAGTCAAGCCGATACCCTTTTAGCTT